CAATTGCAATTAAGGTCTTATCCGCGCTCAATGATGAATGTGGAAAATTGAAAAGGCAGTGTGATTAATTGCATAAACATAATTAGATAACTGATAAGCAGGAATTTAATTAGAAGCTTCTAGCCCTATATATGATAATTGTTTTGATGTCCTTTACATTAATAAATTAATAATACCCCCTTGGAAGACTTTTTGCGTGCTGAGTTTAAATTAGTTCATGTCAAAGTTGATACTATTGGTAAATGTCACTATTACGTACATCATAAGGCATCTCTTGAGAAAGTTATGCCATGTGCTAGATGACAAAATAAGCTTACATGTGACTGAACCTCATTTTCCCTTATGTGGCACCAAGCCTTTAGCAAGGTGTAACAAAAATAAAATGACTGAATTCTTCATAGATATTAGTACCGAGTTACCAAAGTTAGAGCCACATGAAGTCTTAATCGAAAAAAGAAAACACCTTTAATTTAAATATTAGATACTTTAAAGCATTGCTATAAAGCAACAGTTCTGTTAAGCACCATTCACTAAAAAAAGCACCATTCACTAAAAGAAGGTGGGTCCCGCAGTGTGGGACTCACAAGTAAGGTCTACTTTTTATTAGAGATAATACTTAGCATCGATGGTGTCTCTACGCATTTTTTATTGTTTTATGATCCATTATTTAAGTACAAAAGGACACGTAAGAAAAGAAAAAATGAAGGAAAAATAAAATTTATTTATGAGGAGCAAAAGTTAAAATTAAAAGCTAGATTTCATATTGACAACCTTATTATAGAAGGAAAAATCTCAACAAATCGTTAATCACATTAAGAGAATACATACATTAATTAATTGACAAATTTCTTTATATTTCGTGTAAGTAACTATGGCTTTAGTCTACTTATTTAAACCGTGTAAAACTCACGGATTTATGTAGAGGTGAAAGTTTAGGCCGCCCGACTCGGCCCGGATCCAATCTCTCGAATAGAAATTTCGGATCATGTTGATTTGACCTTAAAGAGGATAGGGTCGATTTGGCTTGGTTCGAAATTTTATAAACTATTTTTAAAAATTTTCTAAAATAAAGGGTGTTGGGGCTAACTTGAAGGTTCGAGTTAGACCCGAACCAATTATTGCGGGTTTCGGGCCATCCCATTTGGCCCGGCCCAAATTTGTAGCTCTAAATCTATGTATTATTGCAAAGAAAGACATACACAATACCGGACACATATTTTATAAAGACTTCCTACTCCAGTCTATAATGGATTTAGCTGTTTTGGAAATCATTATTTTAGCCGGCAAGTGAGTCCTATATGAATACTATATTATAATTTCTCAACATTTATCAATTTATTAATTTAGTACGGCGGTCCTCAACTTGAGACCGCAAAAACTACCATTTTATCAAAGTAATTAATCTATTGTAATTGAAAAATGCTAAGTTAAAAGAGGGGTTTTTTTTTTTTTTTGAAAAAAAATGAAATATATTCTTGATTAGGCAATTCAAAACACCAATTTAAAACCCATACAGACAATGGGGAAACACGACCCTATTAAATTAGTTTCACCAATGATTAAACGCTCAAAGGAAAGAAATGCATGTGAATTTCTGAGTCAGAGCAAAAGGTGCACTAAACATCAAGTAGTACATAAATCCTTAAAATTAATCGATAAAATATCTAATCGAATGAAACCTATAATCTCATAACACTAACGCCATACAAAACACTATAAAGAATCAAACATAACAGATGAAAAATACAACTTAAAATTAAACAAATGAAACAAACACACCTACAAATTAGGGTAAAAATTAGGGCTGTTCATAAACCCGCAAAACCCGCAGGAGGCGGGGTGTGGGTTGGGCCTATAATGGCCCGTACATCCCAACTCAACTTGCGCTCTAACTTGTCTCATATAATATTTAATCCTAGGCAGACAACTAATTTCTACTCTCTAGTTTCTTCATGTTTGAATTAAGCATCTATGTTTGCTTTATGTTAAGACTAATTTATGAGTGTAGACTAATTTATGTTTACTTTATGTTTAATGTCGGATGGACTATTTTGCTTCATGTTTGATGTTGGATTGAACTTTGTATTTCTATTTGTTTGAATGTTGGAGTTATTATTTCTATTTTGATGATGAACTTTGAATGTTAGATTGAACTTTGAGTCTTTGATTCTTTGAATGTTGAAACCGACCACCCAATCCACCCCGCACCGCTCCAACCCAACCCAAACATTATTGGGTTTCTAACATCGTTGGGACCAAATATGTGCAACCTGCACCCTTTAAAGCAGGAAAAAAAAAATCATACCTCATATTAACCTAACACATGAAGAGCCCTAGTAAAAATTAGTATTACTGACAAAAAATAATTAAAATAAAAAGACTCCAGGCTATGTTGCCAAAGCTTATGGAATTGAGAACAAGGACAACAAAAAGTTGCAGCAGACCTTGAGAGAATAATCTGAAGAAATTACGCAGGCCACACTTTAAGTTGTGTACGGGTAACGTTAGATCCACCTCCTTCAAGTTACATTTGCTAGTTCTTTGTTTTGTTCTTTTTTGTTCTTTTTCTTTTTTTTTTTAAAGAGACATCAAGCTAAATATTTCAAGATTAGCAAAAGAAAAAAAAAAGTAGACACATTTCTTAGATTGAACCTATATTGAACCGATTATTTATATATATTTATTTCAATGCATGCACATTTGTTTTACGATCATGAACGGCCTCATATAATTGTCAAGTCGTGACCCATTGGCAATACCTGTAACCAGCTCTAAGGCTGTTTTTCACATACATATATATATATATATATATATAGTATATAATGTAGAGAGAAGAGATTTGAACCAAGCTATAACTTAAAAGTAAAGTGTGAAATCTCTACTTGACTATGGCCTCGTTCAATTATTGATTCCAATTTTTAATTTCAGTTAAAATGTGATTTTATATGAGAGTTATTTACTGTAATAAAAAAAATTAGATGTGACTTTTTATGAGAGCTTTAAATTGTAATAAATTAAAATTAAAAACTCGAATCAGTAAAATAAACGAGACTTATATATGTAACTATGTGTACTCTGTAACTCTATATATATAAAAAAAAAAAAAAAATTTTGTCCCTGATTTTTTTTGAAAGAATTTCTTTGGTAGTCTACCTTATCAATAGTCTTAATTTTTAACAGTTTAATTTAATTAAAATAATATTAAATTAAAAAAATATGTAAAAAAATATAAATTATAATATATATTTAACGGTTGAAAAGTAAGAAATTAAAGAAGGCCCTTTGTTTTTATTAGAAGAAGAAAATGATGTGCATACTCGCTGTATTCAAGTTGGGACGCAAGGACAAAATTAGATCGTCCAAAACTGGGCCTGGGCCTGGGCCTGGGTCTCGGTCTGTCAAAGGAAACAACCAAACCATATTTTTGTTTGGACGCGTTGCATGTCAACGTTGAAAGCTGTCACCGACATTGATCCCCTAACAAGAGTAAAACAGCGACACTTGACACGGCCGTGGCGTTGTTACCAAGGAGGAGTTGACAATTAGTTTACATTTTGTCTAATGGATGAGTTATATACCTTAATTTTAGGAATTAGTTAGCTCGTGGGTGGCAACTTTTCTTTTTTTTTTTTTTTTTTTTTTTTTTTTTTTTTTTTGGTTGTAAATCTTGACTACCATTCATTACTAGCCTTTAGCAGTCTAAAGAGGCTAGGTGATAGGAATCCTGTCCTCGTCTAAGACACTAACCCCAGATGGTGATTAGATTTTGATTAGTTTTTTCTTTTTAATTTAAATTTGATATTTAATGGGAGTCTAATAAATAAGTATATAAAAATTTATAAACTATGATTCTCAATACGTTAATTATTCAACCGTTTTTTCTTCTCTATCTAGAGAAAAAACTATTAAAGAACTCTAATCGCTTTTGCTTCTTCTCTATGAGAGAAAATCCCATTAAAATCCCATTAAAGAACTCTAGTAACTCTAGTAATTTGAGTAGTAATTCCACAAAAATATTAATTGCTGCTTTTGAATAGTAATTCCACAAAATATTAATTATTACTATTTGTACGTTTTCGTAATTTGAGATGATATTTCTTGAGATTTGATAATTTGATGGTTTGAGTAGTAATTCTGCAAAAATGTTAATTGTTACTTTTTAATAGTAATTCCGCAAAAATGTTAATTATTACTATTATACATGAAATTGTTACTTTTTAATAGTAATTCCGCAAAAATGTTAATTATTACTATTATACATGAAATTGTTACTTTTTAATAGTAATTCCGCAAAAATGTTAATTATTACTATTATAGATTTATGTAGGTTTTCTTAATTTCTCTTGGTAAATTGAGATGATATTTCTTAAGATTTGGTAATTTGAGATGATATTTCTTGAGATTTGGTAATTTGAGATGATATTTCTGATCTTTGTTGAATATGGTGATTAAAATCATATATATAATTAAAGTATAATCTACAAATATTTGACTTCGGGTGACTACTCGGAGAGTCGGAAATGTAAGGAGGATTTACATACAAATGAGTCACCATGCAACATCTAAGCTAGATTGTGGCTCACCCTTAAAAAGAAGGAAAGAAAAAGATGGATTGTAGTAGTATTTAGACGAGAGACAGAATTATAGGTCATTCTATATTTGGAAAAAAAAAAAAAAAAAAAAAAAAAATTCTAGTATGCCTCGTAAAAAAGAGAGATTATATATTTTGCAGGAAAAGCCATTATATAAAATTATATTTCAACAAAAAGAAAAAAAACAGCCACCATATATGACATCATATTATAGTTACATAGACGGTAGAATTGCACGGACTAGCACTGTTCATTTCAGGTTTGACCTCACTTTATGTCATCTAATCCTTTCACGGATTTATTTAATATTCATATGATACTTTATCGTATGCACTCTACATGCTCCATATAAGGAATTGACTCCTTGTTTAGCTGCCTTACTAATACTTCTCAAGCGATAGCGTCAATCTAATTCTCACCGCCGCCTCCGCCACCGCCTCCTCCGCCTTTACCTCCTCCACCTTTCCCTCCTCCTCCGCCCTTACCTCCTCCTTGACCTCCGCCTCCGCCTTTCCCTCCCCCTTGACCCCCGCCACCTCCGCCTTTCCCCCCTCCACCTTTCCCTCCTCCTCCGCCTTTACCTCCTCCTCCGCCCTTACCTCCCCCTTGACCGCCGCCTCCGCCTTTTCCTCCACCTTGACCACCGCCGCCTCCACCTTTTCCTCCTCCTGGGCCGCCGCTACCTTTTCCCCCTCCTTGGCCGCCCACCCCCGCCTCTCCCTCCTCCGTGACCGCCACCTCCGTATCCACCGTGACCGCCACCTCCGTATCCACCGTGACCGCCACCTCCGTATCCACCGTGACCGCCACCTCCGTATCCACCGTGACCGCCACCTCCGTATCCACCGTGACCGCCACCTCCGTATCCACCGTGACCGCCACCTCCGTATCCACCGTGACCGCCACCTCCGTATCCACCGTGACCGCCGTGCTTGTCATCTTCTATACTGGCATCTTCAGCAACAATTTCTTTTGCGTCATTCTTAGCTGCAACGAGCATGTAAATATTAACTCCTAGTCTCAGGATAGTTTCCTGAGACACGCAATCTTTCATACTCTAAGGATAGAAATTAACGCACAATTACTAAATTATCTCGAGCTTTAATATGCATAATGCATGTGCCCGCGTATGTAACCGACGTTACATATAATTGGTATGTAACTAATAACTATATCATGCATATACTGTACCAATAAACAGTATTCAAT